AAAAAAATTTAAATTAATTCCCAAAATCCGACGTCTCATTCTTATTTACACGTCTCACATCTATAAACAACCACCGTCTTATTATAGCGGGAAAGAAAACATCGACGACATTTCTCAAAAATGACATGTAAGGTTGATATACACGATGGTTATTATATAAAACTGAAATATACGAAAAAATTTATATAGACATACAACGTCCGTTACAAGTTAAAATGTGACGTTGTATACGTAAACAACGTCGCCATCAACATAATAATCGACGGTGTAAATTCTACCCACGTCGGTTATTCAGAAAAGGTGGACGTTGTAACTTACTAACCACGTCGGTGCATACATTGCGACGTATAATGTCTTCTAGGACGACATCATGTGTTATTTAACGTCGTTGTAAACTGATGTAACGTCGGTTATGTACATTTGTCATTTGATTTTTGTATGACTTTTATATTTTATTCCTAATATTCATAATAATTTCAAAACAAATTCCATAAGATAAACTGGCAACTACCATGCACTCATTGAAAGATTTTATCTCCCCCAAATCTTTAAAAATTTTAATTTTAAAAATATTTTAATTTGTATTTAATTACTAATATTCATAATATATTTAAAAAAATCTGAAAAATAAACAGACAAATTCTATTCACTCATTGAGACAATATCTTCCCCCTAAATGCCTAAAAATTTTAATTTATATTTCAAAATTAGAAGTGATAACAAAAGTAAAAAAGATTTAGAGACAAAGCACAATAGTCATTATACTTTCCATAACATAAGCCTATGGTTTATGTGATGCATTGGTGGTCGTAAAATTCAAAATTATTTAATATGGATTTTAGCCTACTAATATAGAAGGCATTGTTGTAAGGAGTCCGTAGCAATTTTCGGTTCATTTTTCTCATACTTGTGTATTTTTTATTTATAATTATTGTAAAATTTATGGTTTAGGGTTTATTGAAACGATGCCGGTTTTCTCTCGCTCTTTTTGGTCAATTACGCGCGTTCGAATCCCAGGAAACGCACACCAAATGTAATTATTTAATACTTTAGACGTCGGTTGGCTGACCATTCAGTCAAAATTTTAGATCCCAGGAAACCCACCTCAATAACATTGCAATTGGCTGACCGTTCAGTCAAAATCCCAAGAGGTATGGTGGAAGATGTGCTAATTCAGGTAGACAAATTTTATTTTCCAGTTGATTTTATAGTTTTGGATATTGAACCAGTTGTGTATTCTAATTCTCAAATTCCTGTTATTCTTGGAAGACCATTTCTTGCTACATCTAATGCTCATATAAATTGCAGGAATGGACTTATGCAACTATCATTTGGGAACATGACATTGGAGCTCAACATATTCAACATATGCAAGTAGCCCGCAAACAATGAAGATGACAAAAAAGTTTACATGATCGAGACAATTGTTCAAAATTGCTTTAATTCTTCTTTTTTGTTTGATCCATTGCAAATTTGTTTAGTAAATGGGGATTAAAATTTCGCACAAGATTTTGAAGTACAATATCTTTGTTTGATTTAATGTTTATTTTAGATCAATAGTTATTACATATAATATTGATCTTTCTTCTGTTGTAGAATTTCTAATTGTGTTTGCATATGCTATATGCTATATGAAATAAGCTGTAGAGTTAAGTAGTCCTTGTGAAAAGTGTGAAAGTTTGTCTCTAGAAGTGAGAAAGAGTGATTGTAAGAGTTTGTCTTTTCTTTGAGAGTTGTCTTGTTGTAATATTTTGTGAGTCTAATACAAGTAATTTGTTTACTTGTTTTGTCTTCAACAAGTCTATATATATCCAATGGACAAATTTAGGGACGCACTTGTATGCTTTACATGATGGATTAGATTAGTACTGGAATTTGATCCTTTAAATGATGTGATAAAGGAAGTTTGCTTTGGCGTTACAGACAGAGCATGGAAAATATGTTGTTTTGCGTCTTGGTATATGTTTCTGGATACATTAGTTCTTGATAGTTCGAGGACTTTGATATAAATGAAGGCTTCTCTAACTACATGCATTAGCAGCCTATTCCAACGTAACAATTCAACACTTAAACATTGGGTAGAACCACAAAGCCAAAGCATATATAAAAAAAACATATAGACTAATATCTCTTCATAAATATAGCATGCTTCCGGAGTACAAGTTGAAGTCTTACAAGAGAAAACATGATCGGGTTAATTTGAAGCAGTTTCTGTAATCTATGCTTTTTAGGCAACCGGACCACTAATCCTGAAAACTTCATCTCATCATATATCTTACACCACATGATGAAGAGGCAGAAATAAGTAGGGAGATAATTATACGTACAGTGCTAAGTGATGATCATGCAGATTTGTGTTTTGGAACCCAGGCAATAGCATCAGTGGAAATGAAATGGCAGATGGGAACGGTTCCGGGCTTAACGTTGAGGATTTGGAAGGACAAATGCTCTGGGTCCCATTCTGATGTGTCTAGATGGCAGATGGTTACTGCTTTAACCTTCTCCCCATCATCGCCTTTCAGGGAGAGAACATAAGCTGCTGTTTGTTTTATTGCATGGCAGAAATACACAGCATAGGGATAGTTCTCCTTATGACACACAACGACTTTGTCACCTGCCAACTTCTTCAGTCCCGGCATTGTGGTATAGTTGTGCATGGACATGGTGGCTCCTCTTTCCAATACCTCCGTCGAGATTGCTTCAACGTTTCTTGTTCCAAGCTTCGAAGTGCTAAAATCAACCATTGATTCTAAAGATGTGGCGCAATATTTTTCCTCTCCCTTAAGGCCCGGAGCTTCACACTCTTCGATTGTTTCCTTAATTGTTTTGGCTTCCACAGATGTTGGCTTCACTGAAAAATGGTTGAAAATTTCTGGTAGTTTGTTAGAGGAGAAGGGGATCGATTGAGCACTTTCGCGTGACAGGAAAGTAGCCGTGTTTGAATTTCTAGGGAATTGGAACTTCATTGTTGCGCCAGGGCTCATGTCCTTCTCGAAGAAGAAAATAGCTAACTCTTTATAATGGAGTAGTTGATTGTCAGATGGAGGAGGAGCTCTTCTATACTGTCTTTGAGTGTAACGTTTAACGCCCCCTCCATAATGTTTTTGAACGGATGGAGGACTTCCATACGTTTTTCGACTGTAACTTGAAAATGGGAGTTTTTCAGGTTTGCCCTCGTCAGATGGAGGAGGACCTTTTCCATAATGGCTTTGAACGTAATGTTTATTGCCCAATGGGAAACTTTCAGGTTTGCCCTCGTCAGATGGAGGAGGAC